GGATTGTTTAAGTTGATTGGCTAGATTAATTTGGTTGCTAAGCTAGGATATGGTATAATGTGCTTATGTAGTTAGTAATATGAGATGTGGCTAGCAACAAAGTAGAGGCGATGATTTTAAAGTTAAGATTTTATTGACTCCCTACTTTTTTAAAACTTCTTCCAAAAGACTAACTAATGGTTTGCTTGAGGACAAGCAAAATGTTAAGTCTGGGGGAGTTGATATACCATGGTTTTGACCCACTTTTAGCTTTGATATTGATATGTTTTTATAATATATATATACATATATATGTTTTGGAGTCTATTAGGTATGTTTTAAGGTTCAGGAGCATTTTGGAGTAAAGTGATGATTTAGGTGCCCTTATGGAGCTTAAAGGAGATTTTTTCCGAGATGACTATGAAAATCAGACAATAAGGTCAATATCCAAAGATACATATCGATCGATACACATCATGTGTAATCGATCGATGACGCTTCCATAGAATATGAAGTCGAGATACTCCATCAATCGATGTACGCCATGTACCATTGATCGATATGAAGCGTGAAGAACAAGTCTGACTTGGCCGACTTGAAGCCCAAGTTTTCCCAATATTACAAGATTGCCCCTGACGAGTTTTTAACCTAATAGAACTCATATTTATAGTTATGCCTATGTGTTTTGGCTAGATATGTTTTTTTATGCCTTTTGTGTTTTCTATGCTTTTTGTGATTTTGATACTATTTTATACTTAGCAATAAAGTATTTTTTTCATCTCAATTCTCAAAGGTTATAGAATTCTAGATTTAGAAGAAACACACAAAGAGATCTGTTGTTCCAAAGAACCAAAAGTTCAATCTTCTAATCTTATGAATTTCTATTATTACCTTGCTGCTATGAATCACTTAGCCATGTCTGAGTAGATTCACTTGTTAGATTTAGGGTTCAAATAGTTATGAGGGATTAGCCCCAACTATGGAATGTTAAGTTGTGATATTCATTATCCAGATGAACCCTAATGCTTACTCTAGAGTAGCTAACTAGAGTATGATCATGGAATGATTTAACTTGTTAATCATCATCCTGAAATCATTTGGCATAAACTTAGATACTCTAGGGATATGCGAGAGCCGGTCTATGATCTTGGTGAACACAGTTTCGATTCGATCTTATGCTATATCGACCGATACTCCTATAGAGTAATCGATCGACGGCAACCTATATCGTCCGATCTGGCGATCGTACCATCGGTCGATATTGCCGGCAGACAGATCAATGGACAAGTCTATATAGCGACAGCTATTGGATCTGTCTAAGAATCGAAGTTCTTATATATCTTGAAAGCAACTTACTAAAACATCTGTAGCATTATAATCCTGATTATCTGAATAGCATCCTTGAATCTAACTACTTTCTTTATTGTTTTAAACCTAAACATATTCTCTTGAGCAACTTATCATTGCTCACAACTGCAATTTACTATTTTAAACTGAATCAACCTAGCATAATCACTTAGGATTACATCTTTTGTGTTCCTCAGTTCCCTGTGGATTCATCCCTGAGTACCACAGCTGAACCTCTTATTTGCGAGAGTAATTCACTCCATAGGGTTAAATATTTGAGTGATATCACTTACTCTGCAGAATTGTGTTCCTCGTAGATGGCATGCATAGTCATCTGATTTATGTTTCTTATCTGACTCGACATAGGAAGTATATCTTTCAGAAATCTGATTGTCTTTGTGTTGTTTAGGATCGCATCACACGGATGCTGATTGTAGCGGGTGAGCAACTGAATGGACTGTATTTTTTCATAGGAATGAATGTGGTAGCGGAGTCTCTCAAGCTGATACATCTTCGTTGAAGCTATGGCACAGTCGTATGGGACATCCGTCTTCAAAAGCATTGGAGTTATTGAGTTTTTCTGATTTCAGTACTGGTACTTTTGATTCTAAGACATGTTAAGTTTGTACTCGAGCAAAACAAACTCGTTATTCTTTTTCATTTCGTAATAAAACAACTTAAGGTTTTTGAGTTAGTTCATTGTGATCTTTGGGATCCTTACAGAACTACATCCATCTGTGAATCCAAGTACTTTCTCACAATTCTCGATTATTACTCTCGTGATGTATGGATATACCTTCTTCCGTCTAAGCAAGATGCACCAAAACATCTTCGTGATTTCATAGCCTTGGTAGAAAGACAATTTGAAACTCAAGTCAAAAGTATTCAGAGTGACAATGGCTCTAAGTTTCTCTGCTTAGCCGATTTTTTCCAAGGAAAGGAAATTATTCATGAAATTTCATGTGTTGGAACTCCCCAACAAAATTGGCGTGTCGAGCGTAAACATCGTCACTTGCTCAATGTTGCTTGCACTCTCCGATTCCAAGCATCACTTCCTGTTGAGTTTTGGAGCTATTGCGCTCTAGATGCTGGTTATCTAATCAATCGAACTCCTACTTCAGTTCTCAATGGGAAAACACCATACGATCTGCTCTACAGGAAACCACCTCCAATGAATCATATCAAAGTGTTTGGATGTCTCTGTTATGTCCATAATCAGAAACATATAGGAGATAAATTCGCAAGTCATACTACAAAATCGATATTTTGGGGATATCCTTTTGGAAAGAAAGGATGGCTAATCAATAACTTGGAAACTAGTACAATCTCAGTCTCACGAAATGTGATTTTTTGTGAAACTGAGTTTCCTATGTCTCAGTACATAGAACCCGTTTCACCTGAATCTTCTACTCCCCATGAATCTTCATATGTGGATTTTTTCAATGATGATTTTGCAGCAGAATCACCATCACCTTCTGTGCCGGCGGTTCCAGTCCAACCAATGGAATCACCGATATCAGACAATGATGTCTCCACGGAGAATGAGACCTCTTCTGCTATTGACCCACTTCTGACAACAAATGAAGATATTGGTATTGATGCTCCAGTTACAGATTCATCAACTACAGCAGTGAATCCTGCAACAGACATAACCTTCGACGAGCATGAGGTTTTAGGACGATGGCTGCGAATCAAAACGCCACCTACTTGACTGGATGATTATGTTACCACTACGTTACATCACCCCTATCCTTCTGCAACACCGTACCCTATTGATAACTACATTTCTAGTGCTATGTTCTCAAACGGATATCAAACATATCTGCTGACTATTACATCTGCTTCGGTAACGTTGAGTTATAAAGAGGTTTTTGAAGATGAACTCTTGCGTGACTTAGTAACAGATGAAATTGTTGCTTTGGAAGATAGAGATATATGGACAGTGGTTGAACTGCCACCTGGTAAGAAATCCCTTGCATGTAAGTGGATTTTCTGGTTAAATTCAATGCTGATGGTACACTGAGATGGTGCAAATCGCGTCTGGTGGTTTGCGGCAATAATCAAACGGAAGGAATTGACTACACAGAGAGCTTCGTCCCTGTTGAAAAGATGATCACTGTGCGATCGTTTCTCCAGCAAGTTGTTTCCTTGGATTGGGAAGTCTATCAAATGGATGTGCATAATGCCTTTCTTCATGGAGATGTTGAAGAAGAAGTGTACATGCAATTTCCACCAGGGTTTCGTACTAATGAAAAGAACAAGGTCTGCAGACTGCATTAATCTTTATATGGGTTAAAACAAGCACTTCCATGCTGGTTCGCAAATCCTGAAACTGCCTTCGTCGACTATGGGTTCGCAAGAAATAGTAAGGATTATTCCTTGTTCACGTATGAGAAGGACAACAACCGTATTCACCTTATTGTTTACGTTGATGATCTTACTATCACTGGAAACTCTAAGGAAGTCATAGACATGTTCAAATCATATCTCAGCGATTGATTTCATATGAAAGACTTGGGCATTCTGAGATATTTCTTGGGTATTGAAGTCGCGAGAAGCCCCATGGGAATGTATCTATGCCAACGAAAGTACTCACTGGATATCATCTCTGAAACCGGCTTGCTTGGAGTTAAGCCTGTTGCATTTTCGCTGGAGCAAAACCATAAGCTCTTGCATGATAACGGTGTACTCATGTCTGATCCACGTCGGTATCGTCGTCTTGTTGGAAGGTTAATCTATCTCGCTACTACCAGACCGGAACTAAGCTATGTCATTCATGTCCTCTCCCAGATTATGAATAGTCCGAAGGAGGATCATTAGGATGCAGCTCTATGGGTGGTGTGTTTGTTATCTCAAGTATAGTCCAGGTCAGGGTATTCTTCTCAAAGCTAATACGACGTTGACAATCTCTGCTTGGTGTGATAGTGACTGGGGTGGCTCCCCACCACGCTACGATCTTTCACAGGTTGGTTGATACAACTTGGTGACTCCCCTATTTCGTGGAAAACGCAGAAGCACGATGTCGTGTCATGATCATCAGCTGAGGCGGAGTATCATGCAATGGGTGATACTGTGAGCGAATTGTTATGGCTACGAGAGCTCTTGCCAAGTTTAGGCATCAACTGTGACGCTTTGATCACATTACACTCCGACAGTCTCTTTGCCATTAATTTTTTCCAAGAATCCCGTCGGTCATAAACAAACAAAACATGTTGGTCTCGATTGTCACTTCATTCGTGATGAGATCATTCGTGGTACAATAGCAACAAAACATGTCCCTACTACAACACAACTGGCATATATTTTTACAAAGGCATTGGATAAGAAGAAGCTTCAATTTTTTTTTATCTAAACTGGGTGTTTGTAACATCCACACTCCACCTTGAGGGGTGATATTGAATCCTATTAGGCCCTACTAATGTCCACACTGTTTGTAAACTAGGTTGTGTATAACCTAAGTTCAATCTCCTTGTACATAAGGCATAACCTTTCAAACGTAATAAATAAAAATCATCTATATATTACTAAGGGTTCTTGACATATACATCTTTTATAGAGTTCAAGAAAACGAAGCACAGGTAGTGATATCCAATTGGTCATCAAATGCATGTGCCTTAGTCAACACGTAAAATGAATGTGAACTGTGTTTATGTTTCTTAAGTAAATTCGAAATGGGATCATATATTATAAAATATATTACACATATATATGTATGTGAATCCAAAGTCTGTAGTGAATAAAGGACAGCAAACGATCCACAAATAAAGGATGCGAGAGGAGCTAAGAGAAGACTCCAATAGCGTCTGAACAACAAACAGTACGGACAAAACAGACTTTGTCCTCAAACCCTCAAAGAGCATAAACTATCTCTCCGCTACTGTCAACATCAATCTCAGATTCGGAATCAAAGTCATCCATGTCATCGTCTAGGTCAAGATTATCAGCCATGAAGTCATCAAGACAACGGTTTCTAACAGCTGGAATAGTAGCCTCTGAGATGATCTGCATGATAGTGTCAAGGCTCTGCATCGGCTGCTCTGGCTCTTGAAACTGACTACTCATTCTGTTCTCGTCCATCAGATCAGCAGGGAGATTCCTCAAGAACCATTCATGGGATTTGATCTCTTGAATACTGATTCTCTGTGACAGAGTTGGACCTCTCTCATCACTTAAAGTCTATATCAAATGCTATAAAGAAGAGAGCGTCTTAAAAAACTTACTGTTGCAGGATCAGCCACGAAGATCCTTGATATTAGATAGCGACATCCTGGTGAGAGGTTTAAGTCCTCAGGGATTGAGTATGTGACACTAAGGATTCTCTGCGTGGAAAAGCAATCAAAGTTTGAACAAGAGAGTTGTGGCTTATGATGAAAGAACATTAAAGAAGGGTTTTACTTGTATAGTCTTGCGATAATCTCTAGGCTCGGCTGGATCCTCAAATGGATATGCTCCAACCAGCATTACGTATAAGGTCACGCCGCATGACCATACATCAGCCATCTGTCAAATGTAACAATTAAGAAGCTGGTGGTAATCATCAAGAAGACGGAAGAGTTGGGTCTCATGATACCTTGCCATCATATTCCTGACGAAGAAGAATCTCTGGTGCAATGTATGCAGGAGTACCAACAGTTGACTTTGGTTGCGAATGAAGAACAGAAGACTGAAGAAAACGAAAATGCAATGTTGATGACGAAGCACAACAAAGAACATACATATGTGTTACAAGAAAAACATGTGTATAGTATACTATAGTAGTAATACCTTGGAGTAACCAAAATCACATATTTTCAAACGAGGGGCAGGACTTCCATCCAACAATGTATTCTCCAGCTTCAGGTCTCGATGACATATTTGCTTCACGTAGGAATAAATCAACACAAAGAGTAAAATCACTGAAACAAAGAAGAGGAACAAGTTGCAAGAAGGTACCATTGCATGACAATAATTAACTCCAGAGATAAGCTGCTGGAAGAAGAACCGAGCCTGTTAGTGTTAACATTAAAAAGAAACACAAATCAGTAGTAGGGAAAAAAAAAATCGATACTGCTGATCAAGTTAAAAGAGATATTCAGAATACAGACCTCATCTTCACTAAATCGCCCTGCGTTACAGATACGGTCATAAAGTTCACCACCAGAAGCATACTCCATCACAATAGCCAGATGGCTAGGCGTCAAAATCACCTATCAGAAAATGCCAAAAAACACTGAGAGAGAGAGATGTGCAGGCACACACACATAACAGAGGAACTAGTAGTAAGAAGGTGTACCTCCTTAAACCTGACAATATTAGGATGCCTCAAGGACCTGTGATTGATGATCTCCCTCTGAACATTTTCATCAATCTGTAACACCACAAAAGTCTCATCACATCAAATCAGGGAAAAGCAAAATACCAAATCACTTAACTTTATAAAGCATTTATTGAAAAAAACCGTTGAGATATATCAAATCTTTAAATAAAAAGTTAACACCTTTAAAGCATTTAATGAATACCCAAATGACAAATCTAAAAGAGGAAGCTACTAAATCTAGAAACTTACTAGCCTCTCCCTCTCTCTCTCTCTATAAATATATACAGATCAATCTAAGAGTAAAAAGAGGAGAGTGAATCATCGAATGAAAAAGTAAAAAAAAAAAGGAGCATACTTTGTCACCTCTCTCGATGTACTTAACAGCGACAAGCTCCTTTGTAACTCTATCAGTCATGAGACGAGCCACGCCGAAGTTACCAGACCCTATATCCCTCACGAAGTCGTAGCGATCGCTGTCGTGTATAATCGGCAGATCAATCGGCATCACCGCCGCCGTCGGATCCATTTTTGAGAAGGAATCTGAGAAGAAGCTTCGCGTTGTGAGTTTGGAAGCTAAGGAAAATATCTTTCTTCTTCTTGGAAGGTAAAATGATATTTTTGGGGGAGACAACGAATGAGAGAGACAAAGGGCTAATTATTGGTCGCTCTCAAAATAGATAAGAAAGAAAGAGAGAGAGAGAGAGATTAATACGACGGCGTTTTAGTTGGGCTTTTCTGTTTTTAATACGACAAAAGCCGCCGCGTTTTGTTGATTTTTGTTGTTGTTGTTGCTGTAGATTTTGTTGTTGTATTTTGCTCCGTCTTTGTCGTTTACATTTCAAATAGATTTTGTTTTTCTAAGTTTTTTTTTTTAACAAATGTTTTATTTATATAAAATGTAACATTACACATAAAATAATAAAAACACAACCAAATACAAATTTAAAATAAATTACAATACTGCAATACATAAAATTAAAAGAAGAAGAAATTTTCTTTTGAATCTTCTTGATGCAATCTTGGATATCAACTTTACGATGAATTTCCAAACTTTACTTCTGTATTTTCTTTGTTGTATAACATTAGTCAACTTACAACTTGGATCTATAAATGTCAATCGATATTGAATCCAATATATTGATTCTATCGAAAGAAATAAAAGTTGGAATTACCAATCTTCAACGATTCCAAGAACATCGTCATACAACAAAGAAAATTTCTATGGTGGTTTCTATGGCAATTTTTTCCAAAGTAAAGCAGTAAGAATAAGTTTCTTACCACTTAAATCTGAATTCAACATGTTATCGGTCATAGCCATGAAAACCATAATGGAGATCGCAACAATAAAATGAGAGAAGAAATGATTAACACCCAATTTTTTGTGAATGAACAAAACATATTGGAATTTTTTTGAAAAAGGAACCCCATATGTCATTACATAGAGTGTATGTATATGCAATACACAAAACATAATCACCGTAATGAACATTCGGTGTAAATGGAATTGTATGAAACAAATTCTTTTGTGGATTTTCTAAAATATAGAAGAGAGTTGATGGGTTGTGAAAGCCATGAAAAAAAACAAAGATGATTAAAGAGAAAAAGAATATGATAGATGGTGTGAATTGCAGAAGAAAAAATTGTGAAAAACAATCACTCTCACAATCGCTCTCTAACCGCTCTCCCGTTATGTTCATAACACTTATCTTTTTTGTTTTTCTAAGTTTATCTTTAATTTTTATAAGAAATACATCAATATTTTTTTCCGAATTTACTAAAACAAAACAATAAATACGATCAATTTGTAAATATGTTTGAACATTATTTTAAGAATCTAATAAGATAAATGAATGTGGCATGAAAGAAGAAACAATGTGGCATGAAAGAAGGAACACTGATTTCTAAAAAAAAATTGAGGTGGTGATTGTTTGTTTAGTTTTTAGACTTTAGATTTTAGATTTTGGATTTTGGTTTTTGATTTTGCAGTAGACTTTATCTTTTGAAAAAAAAAATGAATGGTGATTTTAGATTTTGATTTCTAGTTTTTGTTTTTTTGTTCTTTGCTTTTAAAATAATAAAATGAAAATTTTTTTAATGGTAAAATATTTGACCTGAAATAATAAAATATAAAAATCTATTACCAAAACACAAATAATATTTTTTTGGATAGTCTACTTTACCAAAATCTAGACAATGAATAGTTACATTTAAAAAAAATTATGGTAAAAATCATAATTTGTTTTATGATTAAATAAAAATTGAATTACAATGTAGTAAATATATGATACATTGGAAATATTTGTTTTTGGTAAAACTGCATAATTTTTTTTTGGTATTAGTTATCTAATTATTCTATAAATATTTGTTTTCTAAATTTGATTTGTTATTTATCTAATATTTTTAATATAATTATATGTAAATTATTTTCAATAAATTTGACATACTAAATCGATAAAAACAAAAAAAAAATAAGTATATAGATTATCAATAAAACATGTAGATTAGTTTATTCTGAAATTAAAAACAAATAATTGTTACTTTTATTACAAAGTCCTAATTGTTTTGGATATGGTTTATTTGATTACTTAAAAATATGTAAATATTGAAACAGTAATGTGTTGTGTTTTAAGTTGATTAAATTAAAATATTAGGTAAAGTTTAATTTTTACACAATTTAAATCATTATTAGATTTCAGAGAGAATGTAAAAAATAAACCTTAAATCTGAAAAATACCAGTACTGGAAAATGTAAAAGAATTGCATAATAAAAATAAATTTCTTTATTAGCTACATAAATATATGGTTTTCAATAAAAATAACAAACCAAATAATAAATATATTTTAAAATTATTTTTAAGGTGAGAATAAACATATTATTTTTCACAAATTTCCTGTCCGTAGGACGGGCTTACCCTAGTATATTATATAACATTGTGTATATGAAACAAATTTTTAGAGGAGACAACAAAAAGAAGGTGATTTGCCATGCAAACAGAGCCGAGCCTAGAATTTTAAAGGCTACAAGCCAAAAAAAAAAAAAAAGTGGCCGCAAAAAATATTCTGCAGGAGGTAGGAATTGAACTATGGTCCGGGTATTTGAACAATGGCTATTTAGTCACTATACTACAGACATTTTCTATATTAAATTGTTGCCGATTATATCTATTTTTTTGGTGGCCGCAAGAACATGCTTTTTTTGCTTGGGTCCAGGGCCGGCTCTGCATGCAAAGTTAATGTTTCAAACTTTTATACTAAAAGAATCATAATAAAAAAAATTTTAACATTCAAGTTGTGATCCATTTCGTGTTCAAGATATATTTTTCCGGAATATTGGATTAAATGATCAAACCAGATCGATCACTCTTTTGAATGAAGACCTTAATCTTTATTGTGGAACCATAATCGGTAATGACAGCAGTTTTCTTTCCTAGAGATCTTTCCAACCAATCCGCCCCCCCCCCCAAAAAAATATTATTTGATCTCAGATAGCTGAATGCACTTGAATTTATACAAACATGTTTATCATTTGTGAACTCAAACAAGCTACAACGAAAGAACACATATGATTCATTAATAAAAACGTAGAACAAAAGGGGCGTCCGTAACCCGTAGGATATAGACGAGAACACTAGTGCATGACTAAGCAAACCGAGACAAGAACAAAACCACTAAAAGAAAAAAAAAACCTAATAAAGAGGAAGAAAATATTAAAGTCGTAGGTGACGTGACAAGTGAAACGAACTAGAAGAACAAAGTAAGGATCGATAAAAGTATCATCAAATGATGTCTTCGCATTCATTTTTGATGTTGACCATGAGATTTTACACACAATAGTCACTGACTTAATACATCATCGTATAGAAACTGAACTCCATTTGCACACGACACACTCCAACAAGTCACATGTTTCTCGAACAACATCCAATGTGTTCCAATGGATACTCATGATGATGATGACTGTGATGGTGCTCTGGAGGTGGGTTTGATGGCTGATTAGGGGACGATAACTCATTATTACTGGGTGGCGAAGAAGATGGAGAGTTCTCAGGAGCTGGGGGTGGAGGAGATGGTGTTGGCGGCAGTGGAGTTAGAGACTTCTTGGGATTTGGAGGAGGAAAAGATGGTATTGGTGGTGGTGGAGATTGAGATTTACTGGGTGTTGGAGGCAGAGGAGACAATGTTGGCAATAGTTGAGATATTTAGAGAGTTGAAAGAGGAGGAGATGGTGTAGCCTGTAGGTGACAGCGGAGACATTTTGGGAGCTAAGGAAAAAGTGACGGTGTTGGCACCGGTTGAGTTATTTTGGGAGTTAGACGCGAAGGAGATGGTGTAGGTGGAGGAGAAGATGGTATTGGACACAGTGGAGATATTATGAGAGCTTGTGGGAGGAGTTGCCGTAGGTGGAGGAGATTGTGTTAGAAAAGATGAAGATATTTTGGGAGGTAGAGGCCGAAGAGAGGACGTAGGTGGAGGAAGATATGGTGTAGGTGGCAGCGAAGACATTTTGGGAATTAGAGAATAAGGTGACGGTGTTGGCAGATGTGGAGTTATTTTGAAAGTTAGAGGCGAGGCACATGACAGGGCTGCCTTTCAAGGTTTTAAAAACTCTTATTCTACTCTATCAAATTACCCTATGAAACTCAACTAAAATTTGCTCTTGCAAGAGAGATCAAATTGCAATATTTAGGGATCAAATCCACATAGAGCAAAGTACACAATAGATTTAGTAATCTTATGGTTAAGCTAGGCGAAGTATTTTTACTAGTTATCAGGATGGGATGAAAAGAAAATCTTTTAAAGTTAACTTAATTCAAATAAGGAAAATAGCTAGATCTAGGGTTTTGGAACGTGAATTATTATTGATGGTTGATTATTAGCCGACCTCAATACACTAGGTAACAACCGCCCACTAATTATCACTATCGATCGACGGACGAGTATCGACATCGTTCGATGGTTGTGGCGAGTTGATTACCATCAGGCATGGTATCAACTTTCACTTCTTTCTACCATCAGGCATGGTCGATCAGCTTTCATTTCTTTCTAGCAAACATAACTTAATTAGAATGTATACGGTTTAGAACCTACTCTCGCAGTATCCTAAGTCCTAAGATCAAGTTCTAGTTAGCTACTTAGAGCTTGCATTAAGTATACTTCCAATCATGGGTATTAATCCTTCTAGCAACCTATTTTGGGGCTAGTTCAACAGAGCCATAATAAACCTTAAATCTAACAAAGGGAACTACTCAAACATAATCATGCAGAACATATTCATAGAATGAAAATAATGCATGATATGTTGCATATTTACCTAGTTTTAACCTTGCATTCTTATTTATGTTAAGCATATAGATTAGATTTAGGCACCTTTAGGTTGCATATTGCATACATTTGTCTTTATCAGGTCATGGAACATGCTATGGAGTTCCTGGAGGTGTTTGGGGTCGATTACGTGCAAAAAGAAGGTGCAAAGGTGTCATTTGGCGAGCCGGAGCAACCACAGCGGAGTCAAGAGGTCGCTGCAAGCAACACCAGCCGGAGCGGGATCGTGCAGCGGGTCCGGAGCGTCGCTCCAGACCACAGCGGAGGTTTTGGCAGCGGACGCAAGGGGGTCGCTCGCATTTTGAAGAAGAAAAGAGAGAGCCCACAGCGGCTCT